CGCCAATGGAAAACAGAAATACAGATAGATTGCGCAAGCCCTAGTCTCGTGCATCTCACAGGGAAAACTTCATGTACTTAAAATCAGGTACATAATTTTAGCAGAAAAATCAAAACCTTTGGAGAGCTAAAATATATATAGTGCGCTGATGACGTCATTAAAATTATTGGGCGCATTTTCATAGACATCGAACCCGACGGCTAGGTCGACTCACAAAGAAGCCGAATTGTTCATTACTGAGAGCGGTCAAAAGGATATCATTGTGAACAAAAAACTGCCTCTACTGGGCTTCGAAGTGAGGCAAAATTAGATTTCAAGGAGTGTGAACGAAATAAGTGGAAAAAAAGTCTTCAAGAGCTCCAATAAGGAGCTGTTGAGTTTCTTATAAATTTTAACTGAGAAACTGGCAAAATGTACAACTTTACCGATGGTTATAACCGCAGAACGTGATAGGTCAGTAAAAGTAGCTCTAAATTTTACGCCTTCAAAAAAACAAATCTATCGGAATCTATCGTTTATTTTAATGTTAAAATTATCGCGACCCGGGGTCCCAAAGAACGTGTTAAGATTTACGAAAAAGATTTACGAAACGTGTTAAGAGTACTTGACGAAATCAAGGCCGCTGCGAAAAAAAATAAAGGCACTTTCCCAACCTTTTTTGCAAAAAAAATCCAATACTTGAGGTTTCAGCCCTCATATGAAGACTTTGTGCCAGTCGAGAGAAGAGTTGAATCTTTTGTGAAGATGAAACAACCTGAAAAAAGAAAAGATATTAGATCTCTGATTGGATCAATTAACGAACTCATAAGATTTATCTCGACTTTAGCTGCCACCACAGAACCGCTTAGTAACCTAATGAAAAATATTCACAATTCGAATGTGGAACGCATATAATACAGCGTAATACAGCGTTTGCAGAACTTAAAAAATAGTCAGCGACTTCGTTAAATTCATCTTTTTGATGTGAACAAAGGAAACTCGTGTCAAGTGTGACCTATCTAAACACGGCCTAGGTGCGGCCCTAGAATAACTACATATCGATGGATGGAAACCCGTGTCTTATGAATCCAGATTTTTAAACGAGGCGGAATTAATTACAGCATAAAGGAGTTAGAGTCTCATTGGCGGTATGGGCAGTTAACCATTACCAAAATTATTTTTCTGGCATGTTAGGCCATATAGGCCGTTTCAAGGCATGTTAGGCCATATAGCCTTAGTGTCGTATTTCTAATAAGAAAAGAATACACAACTACACAAACACGTTTGGTAAGATAGGTACATGAATTGTTGCCATTCGACTACGAAAAAGAACACTTCCCGGAGAAGCACATGAGCTTGATGACTATTTATCTCTGCGCCAATTGGGAACGGCCCAGAGAGCGTCTCAGCTGGACAATACAATTGTGGTAGTGCAAATTACAGCTGTGAAACGGCTGCTAAAAAAAACCGTCTGCTATTGAGAACGTCAGCAAAATGGAAAGCCAAAATGACAGACTAGTGAGAACAGAACCCGAATTACGGAATCAGATAGAATGGGCAGAGGGAAAACTAATTGACACGTTTCGAAAGTATCAATTGATCAAAGTTTGTACTGCAAATCACAAAAGAGCAGGCCACTCTCGAAACTGTGATTTGATTAATCCGTTACGGATGAGCAAAAATCAAACCAATAAAACAAATCATTCGGAAAATAATCAGAGGCAGGATGCCCGGAAATTTACGACGAGGGCAGATATAAACAGGGGATAGCAGATTTGGTCAAAATTACTAGCGACTCTAGCGGAACGATGGCGACGCACGACCCAGATATACCCGACCAATTTTCCGCTATTGGCATGACAGAGGAAGATCAGCACCAGATCCTCGAAGAACTTGAGAGTTTAGTTATCTCAAGAACTTGCCCCGCAAGAGAGGAAAACGGTGGTTACTCGAAAAACCTCGAAGTACCAGAAGGTACTACGACTATAGACTAAAACGAAGCTTTATAAACTTGATGAAACAAATGCAGTTAAATTGATTGAAAGTAGAAGAAGGTTTTGATTTAATAGACGGGGGGATTGTAGTGGAGTTTGTGTAAAACATTTTTATTTTATGCCATTACGCGACCAATTAACATAGTCAAAGTCATCGATGTAGTTAGCGTTAAGATGACGAATTCAAGTTGATTCTTCTATGTTTTGATACTAAGCTACGTTGTTATGTGACCACGAGATCACTTCCACAAGACCAAGGCCCCTTTTTTATCCAGAGGCGTTTCGACGCCAACAATACTTATATTTATATCATTTTGGTTAACAAAAGAATTGAAACTTTTAACGAAATAAACAAAATAATCGAGAACGTGGTTTTTTTGAAGTTGTGAAAGTATATAAATACACTCAGCAAGACAGACTGAATAAAAAAAATAAACTTAATTCAAGCTGTTAGAATGAAAAAGAAGGTGGCTATTGACGAGTAGAAAAATAAACATTTGTTTTGTGCGTAAACAGTAAGCACCTACAAGTATGGAAATGGCTTCTTTGTAAGGTTTCATTTTCATCAATTTCCCATTGATTTCTACAGATATGAAAATCGACTGTTTTTTCCTTACAGTAACTTTTTAAAACTTATTGATATGTAATGGATTTTTGTTTCATTTGAATAAGTGTTTGATCAAACTGAGTCTTTGATTTGGGCATTTTTGGTTACAAAATCATGGTTTGAGTTACAAGTATTGGTTATTTTTTCGTTATATACACAGTAGATTTTTCTGTGACTTCGATCAATGGTTGACTTTTAGTTAGACAAGCAAAATTGGTGTATTTTGGTAATTATTGAATGTATTAACTGTACTTTAAGATGTCTCAAAGAATTTTGTTCATATTTGGTTGTGATTTAAATCTCAATTTTCTATACTCCTAATTCAAATTTTAAATTGCTTTAGTTTTCTTCTTCTAACTTATCATTTAAATGAAGATTAGCGCCACAAATAGTAAGAAAATAATTTTCAGGAAATTCTATTTTGTCGCATCTGCTACGTGTTCATAGAAAACAGGAACTTTTGCGATGATAATTATCCAAAGCTACCTTTTTTGGAATCTTAAAACATCAAGAACTTCATGAAAACATTCACAATTAATACTTTTGAAAGTTTTCAGTTCATGGTTTTGATATCGGCCGATATCGGTAGGCAAAACCCTCGGTAGTTTTGTCAACATCACAAGCCCTGTACTTTGTATGCAGAAAAATTTGATCGTCATAAAACCAGTTATGTTGTGTCAGACCTTCCTGGATACTTTATCCGACCATTAAAAAAAGGGAACACCTTTGTATTCCAGTGTTTTAGTTTTTTTGCTTTCCAGGCAAAAATCATGTATCTCAAACTATCATCGCAATGGGTCCAATGATTCATCAATTTATATCGGGATTCAAGCAAATTTAAAAAAATGTTTCAAAAAATCTCAGTACCGAGAAGGACATGTTTGAATATTTTAGTTTTGAGACAAAGTTTGAGCTAATGAAGCAAGCTAGCAGCCCTACAATAACTAATTATTCTTAATTTAGGCCATGAAAATTTATTTTCTCAATTAGAGTTTGTTTTTGGAGCTTTTGGTGCCATCTTGGAAATCGAAAACTTCAAAATTTCTGAAAAAAACCTTTGAAAAAAATTGGAAGTTTCTTTTTCATGATTTCGTTTCAGTTTACTGGAAATTTTTTGCAAGAAGTTTTGTCACTTTTTGCCTACTTTTTTATGACTGCTGAACATGCCAAAGTTTCGTTCAGATTTTTTTATCACACCTCTTTATTCAGATCGTTTCATCAGATCTTTTTACTTGCACAGTAGTCGGCTCTCCTTGTTGTGATTGATTTTGTTGTTTGCCGCTGATGCTTTTCTTTTAATGTTGATTTAATTCAAAGCTCACTTTTTGCAAAGAATATGTTTCTATAGTTCCAATTGTGTGTTTTTTCACATGTGATTACTCCCCTTTTACAGAACTTGAGCAATATAGTTTTTTCTTATGATAACCAAGCTTAATTGGCGTTTTTTTTGTAATTTTTGAAAAACCTCCCAGGTCGACCTTCATAAAATTAAAATGCTAATTATAAATTTTTAATATGGTTTGTATGACTGACGCTTCTCACTTTTTCTGTGGCAAGACTAAAAATTTTGCATCAAGGTTTTTGAAACTTCATTTTGCCTCAAGGTTTTTGCAACTTCATTTTGCCTCAAGGTGTATGGTTAATGATTGATTCAATTTTTTTTAAAATTTTTTTACCGTTTTTTTTGTGTATGTGTTAGTATTGTCTGAAGCAAAACAACTGATTGGGGGCTCAGATATTTTGCCAAACAGCTGAAGTTAACTGCTGTAAATTAGTCTGAAAACTAAAAAAAAACCATGAACAAGTGGACCAGCTTTTCTCGACTCCAAAAGTTTTTCAATATTTGAAAACGGGCCGTGCTGGCTTAATGGTGTTCTCCCAAACGATTACAGTTTGCTTTTGTAAATTTTTATAAATAACTCTGTAACTAGTTATCTTTTGGAAACAATTTATTAATATATTAATTTCAATCTGATTCCAATCTAAACCCCCGTAGAATTTTTTAACCAGTTACAAAAAAATGCGTGGAAAAAACCCACGCTGTTGCGTAATTATTTCGCACTCAATGAGATTTATCTCAACTTAAAAAGAAACTAAAAAACTTGCAAGTGAAATTTTTCCGCCTAGTTTAGAGAAAAAATACTAGTCATAGAATTCCGTATAATTATCCGAAGATATGAAGTGTATGAACCAGTTTATAGAAACTATATGAGTCAATAAATGAGCTCTACTAACAATTTGGTAAATTTGAGTTCTCTGAAACAATATTAATTCAGTTTAAACAAAACGTTCCTGTGCAAAACGGTGATTGATTCAAGATTGGCCGCTGATTAGTTTTACTGTTTTAATGCTAGGTCCGACTCAACAATAAATGAATTTGCGCAACATCCTCTCAAAGCGGGAAAAAAACTTACTCGCATTTCAATTTGTAAATTTATTAGAAACTAAACATCTCTGGGAATCATGCAAAATCTACGACGAAGATACAAATTTTTACAAGCTGTCGTCAGAATTATATCTTTTTGATGTTTTCGAATAAGACAAGCGAAGTTGATTAATCATAACATAGAATCCTCAGAATCTCCACGAGCTTTAATTTCGCTGTCAACCATGGCTTGTTGGTTCCACATCTCGGAATAAACACTTCCAGGAGTGTCTATCAGTTCCTGATGGGTTCCTCTCTCAACTATGACCCCGTCCTTGAGGACCATGATCATGTCCGCATTGACCACAGTGGACAGTCTGTGGGCCACTACCAGAGTGGTCCTGTCTTTGCTGACGTCATCGAGCGCACCCTGGATATTTCTTTCTGTCTGAGTGTCCAGGGCAGAAGTTGCCTCGTCCAACATAATTATTCTGGGTGCCTAGAATTCACATTAGCTTGTAAATATACGCAAAGACTATAATAAAAAAGATACTAAATTTTCTTTTTCATGTTACCATTAATGTCATTTGTAATCAAGATTTGCTAAGCCCTAGAACCTCGCTCTATAGTGGTTATTTAAACAAGTTTTGTGCAAAACTAATTTTTCTAACAATGTTTTAAACTACTTTAATCAGGCAAACGGCAAACCCTTGTTAAATTAAATTTCACTGCAAGTACATGGTACGCACTTCAAATCTCGAGGAATTTGAACTCATGTTTTCAATCAGAGGGTCCCAATTTTGTCCTTTTTCTACTGTGAACATTTCAATCATGTCATAGAATGTTATCTGACCTTGAGAACAGTCCTGGCGATTGCCACCCGCTGTTTTTCTCCCCCACTCAGCTTCTGACCCCTCTCGCCAACTTTAGTCTCATACCCGTCCGGGAATGTCTGGATCCTGTCGTGGATGTCGGCCCTTTCAGCAGCTGCTTTCATTTCGTCTTCGTCTGCGTCTGGCCTTCCGTAGTGGATGTTATACCTCAAAACAGAAAAAGAATTATGCAGTCCAGAGCGATAATTCGTAACAGGCGACAATTTGTAGCAACAGATTACGCGGTTAATATTGGTTCGCTAGTACAATACAACCCTTGTCGCATCTAAGCGCAACAGAGGAAGTCGGATCTAATGCCTTGTTACGAATTGCTGTCTGTATTCAATTGTCATACAATCATATTTATACTTATACAACCATAATTGGATTACAAAGTACAAAAAACTTTATGTTACGTTACTCTTATATAAGGCGATTTTTGTGAAGAGCCATTTGCCCTATTGGACACTGGTAAAAACTGCCACAAATTATAAGAAAAACTTCAGACATTTACAATAATGACGGCGCAAATTACTTGCATTTTCATGGTACAGTTTCAAGCTTACTTGCACCCAAAATTTTCGAGTTGCCTTTTAAATGATTTTGTATCTCAGAAGTTGATTCGAATTTATACTTGTAAATGTGGTAGTACAGACTTACAATAAGTGCAAGGTTTTTTGAGGTACTTTTCAAGTCATTTAAGCATAAGTTTCATTCAAAACTTTATTGAAGTTTGCAACTCTGCGCGCAACAAGAGAGTCGAACTTGTGACCTGATGTCTGGAAGTCTGGTGCTTTAACCACTCGGCCATTTCTACCACTCACCCGATGGTATCACTGAATAGAACAGTGTCTTGGGGCACGACGCCGATGCTCTTGCGGAGACTGTGCTGGGTCACTTTTGTGATGTCCTGTCCGTCTATTGAAATGCACCCCCCTTGGATGTCGTAGAAACGGAACACCAGACGGATCAAAGTACTCTTCCCGGACCCGGAAGGCCCCACCACCGCGACCGTCTTTCCCGCTGGAACCTGTAATTTGTGGATGAAGTTTCACAAACTGCTCTTAACTTTGTCGCTTATCATTGCGATCATTGACAAGGGTAACAATTAGATTTTCTTCTTGGTCTGTAGATCCTTGGAACATTGGCGTATTATCATTTGAATCCTTATAAGAAGAATGCTTTATTCTAAGAACTTTTGGAGCATCAAATGATAAAACTTTCCGTTCGGTCAGCTTGTCGCCGACATAATTTAGGATACGGAGCTCTTACCACGTTCAAAATTCCTAGCATACAGATTTTCACCCTAAGAATAACATTGTAAGCCATACACGGGCGGATCTAGTTTTTTGAGGGGACAAAGCGCATTTTCAAAAAAATTTTTTAAAAAAATAGACAAATTTTTTTAAAAAAAATTTCTGTCGACCTATTATTTAACGTATTTTTTTTCCAGTATTTCGAAGATATTAAGTGAGTATATACATACTTCCGTTGGATTTGTTTTTCAGACTATCTACGATCAGAATAATAAATTTCAACAGAACATTTTAATATCTCAATTAGGATAACGACTTCCCGAGATCTAATGTAAAAACAATTTACCTGATATCATTTTTGGTAAGTTCTGAGGGTTTGAAAATTGCTAATTGGCCAAATCTGGACATATTTATGCAAGTTTTTGAGGATTTATCTATTATGATAATAGTGTAAGCGCAGATTGTTTATGATGATTTATCCTGCTCTCAAAATCGTTCCGAAATGATTTGAGACATTTAATTAGTTAATTCAAGTCATTGGTCACAAAATTCAATATACGTCTCAAATTGTAACAATTATTATTTCATATTAGAAAACAAACAAATAAATCAGAATTGTAAAAAATTGTTTTTACCTTTGCGATAAGCAAGCGTTATCAAATTGGAACTTCGTACTTTTTTTAAGTAACCAACTTCTTTAACAAAATTGTTGAATCACTTCTTCAGATTTTTTGTCAACTCTGTTGAATTTCCAATCAACATAAATTGTTTGAGTATAATCGCATTTAAAATACTTACAATTTTTGTATCCTATAGGTAAATTTGACCACTCGAAATTTGTCAAGTTTCAGTTTTTTGTCCACTAGAAACCCGCAATGAGGTTCTATGGATATTAATTGATTATAATCGATCTTCATGGTCTGTCTGAATTCTAAAAAAAAACACAAAATTCTAAAAAAAATCGACTGTAAAACAAATAAAACATAAATCATCTCAATCCATTATAATGGATTATAATGGATTATAATGGATAATAATACATTATAATAAGTTATTATGAGTAAGAGCTTGGTTTTCTAAAACCAATTTTGCAATTGCTAACTTGTAGTTTACATTTGGTTACAGCAAAAACTTGTATTATTTTCTGATTGACTTATTTCTACTTGTCTCCCCTTTCTCCTAAATAACTTACACTAACTCCCACCATTCTTTTTTTTACTTACCACCACCTCTTTTCGCCACCACTTACCCCTTACTTACAATTACCGTAAAATTCGTGAAAAATATCTACGTGTGGTGGAGGGGTGGTAGGTGAGGTTAGGTTAACGAGCTACGAGGGGATAACTACGGGTTAGGTGGGGGTTAGGTGGGGATTAGGGTAGGCGGGTGGCGTATATGGGGCTGGGTAGTTGGGAGTGAGGACAGTTGGGGGCTAGGTGGGGGGGGGGGGTAGGTGGGTTTGGGTAGGTGGGTGGGGGTAGGTGGGTGGGGGTAGGTGGGTGGGGTAAGTGGGGTGGGCTATGTGGGAGGGGTGGGAGGGTTAGGTTGGGTCTTAGGTGGTGCTGAGGGTAGGCGGGATGTAGGTGGCGTGGGTAAGTAGGTTAGGGGTTTTGGGAGGGAGATTGAGGGTAGGTGCAAGCTTAAAGTTTCATAAAATTTAACTAAAAGTGAGTAGTTTCAGAAAAAGCTGCAAGCTATGCAGAAAAATTGTAACCAAAATTTATAGAGATGATAATCCAATGTTTTTCATTATAATCGGTTGCCTGGTCATAAAGTGTAATTATAAAAGATTATAATGCCAACCTTTTTGACCATGAAAATCGATTATAATCGATTTTTGTCCATGGAACCTCAGTGCGGGAAGGCTTGCTTCAATCAAACGGTTTTTCGGTTTATAAAATATCGACTATATTACCTCGTTTTTTATACTTTCAAGGACAAAAAACAGTTTTCTATGCGCGTGTGTGTGCTTCCAATTGAACTTAAATTTTTCGAAATTTAAAATGTATCAACGGTTATGATTCTAATGATATTTTGTTGCCTCAACGAGTGCCTTCGTAAGTATTATTGGCTTCCTTTTTTGCAATTTAATACTGAGTGTACTAGGTTGTTCAATTTTTTGAAATATTTCTGACACATTGAACTTCATTTAATTCCAATTGAGCTCAGCTTTTTGGTAAATGAAGAGATTTAATTTTTCGACGATTTAGCAAACTAGTTTCTTGATTTAGTGGTTTATCTCAGGTTCAATCAGCTAGCTGACCTTGATATATCTGTGCTGTAATGCAACTACATCTTTGTGTTCATCAAAATTTTACCTGCAAAAGCTTTTCAGTACTTTTTAATTGGCAGTAAAAACATTTGCGACTAGTGCTTTGCAATTATCATATTTAAATTCAATTTCAAGTTTAAGAATATTTTCCTGTGCTATTAGACACCGACAGTTATAATATGGAATCATAATATGAAATATTGGCTAATTATAAGGTAAAAATTCATAATAAAACAAGATAGCTTGTTACTGTGCAAGTAACCCAGAATGTTTAGAACATAGTCTGAAAAAATTACAAAAAAGTTTTCTCCAAATTACCAACGTTTTTTTCGGCGTGGTGTAATAAAAGGAGCTAAAAAAATTGAAAATTAGGTTTATTTGACAGCCACACTAAAAGCAGCAACATGAAAAACAATTTTTGAAGAAAATTTTTCAGAAAAACGAAAAAAATCAAAAAAAATATTCGAAAGTTTTTCAAGTTTTTTCAAACATTGCAGTTTTCGAATAAAACTAAGTTTATATGTTTTGAATTAAGCTTTTGTAAGCTTTTAAGCAATTTAAATTTGAATACTTGCTCGCTGTATTCGCTCGAATTAAGACGAAAAATCAAAAATTTCAAACCGGTTTTCCTCGACACTGGGAAAATTTTTTCATGTGGTTCGAATCACGACTGTAAGGGCTCTAATATGATATATCTCTCAACCCAGTCCGATGATTAATTGTGGTACCTAATTTTGCGTGGAAAAATTAAAAAAAGCCAAAATAGACCCGCCTACAAAGTTCCTCACCTTCTTCAATGGTCGGAACAAAAGTTGGTCCTTTATAGAAGTGTATCTTTTTTTCAAGGTACCATATGGGTGGATAATCAACAAAACAATTAGCCTGAAAAAATTACAAAAAAGTTTTCTCCAAATTACCAACGTTTTTTTTCGGCGTGGTGTAAAAGAAGGAGCTGAAAAAAAATTGAAAGTTAGGTTTATTTGACAGCCACACTAAAAGCAGCAACATGAAAAACAATTTTTGAAGAAAATTTTCAGAAAAACGAAAAAAATCAAAAAAAAAAATATTCGAAAGTTTTCAAGTTTTTTCAAACATTGCAGTTTTCGAATAAAACTAAGTTTATATGTTTTGAATTAAGCTATTGCAAGCTTTTAAGCAATTTAAATTTGAATACTTGCTCGCTGTATTCGCTCGAATTAAGAAGAAAAATCAAAAATTTCAAACCGGTTTTCATGTGGTTCGAATCACGACTGTAAGGGTTCTAATATGATATATCTCTCAACCCAGTCCGATGATCAATTGTGGTACCTAATTTTGCATGTAAAACAAAAAAAGCCAAAATAGACCCGCTTACAAAGTTCCTCGCCTTTTTCAATGGTCGGAACAAAAGTTGGTCCTTTAAAAAAGTGTATTTTTTTTCAAGGTATCATTTGGGTGGATACTCAACAAGATCCTTAACATGTCCAATGATGCGTTTTGGGTGCGAAGGAGAGATGATCTGACCTTGAAAGAGACATTTTTGAGGATTGGCTGGTCTGGTCTGTAGTGGAAAGTGACGTCATCAAACTCTATTTCTCCTCCTTCGATATTCAATACTTCACATCCGTCACGATCAGTGACTTCCACCTAAAACCATAGGTTCGAATCCCGACAGTAAATCTATTTTGTACAGGAATGAGGTGTAATATACATAGGCGAAGGACCAAATGGGCGAAAACAAACATCAGTCAATCATATTTCAGTATTCCAAAATTTGGAACGAAAGTGCGAAAATCTCAAAGAAATTAAACATTTACATGGACTTAAAATTATTATTATTAGCCGAATGTAAAAACGGCAGAAACATGCAAATTTTTCAAATTGTCATCAAAGGTTTCGTTATAAAAGAAGGAAAAAATTGCTTCATTTAATTCCTTTTAGTTGAACGGCAATTGATTCTTTTTATTAAGTGACTTTCGACTGTTTTTGTTTTCGAGTCTCTCCCATAAGTTTTTTACTCATTCGGTCCTTCGCCCATGAGAATAACCCCCAAAATTGAATCTTAAATCTGTCACGTATTCTGGTAAACTAAAAATTTAATATGAAAATTCCTTCTGTTGTGTATTACTAATAAAATAACATACATTTTTAAAACGAAGAAAAGTATATATAAATCAATATTACAACAAAAACTAAATATTTTTTAAGATCAAGTATCGGACAGATTGAATATGATGAAAGGGTGGCTATTCGAATGATAGTGCTGGTTTAATATATCCGGGCAAAAAGAACAAAATTGGAAAATTTAAACACGGTTTTTCTAATTAGGCAAAAATGAGAAGACTAAACTTGCTTAGATTTAAGCAAAAATGAGAAGACTAAACTTGCTTAGATTTTTACCAGAAACAATATGGAGCAATTAACTTTAAGAAATGTAAGCCCAAAATTTTACCAAAAAAAGACCAATTTGGTTTTTTAGTCGATCAAAAGTTGCGCCAAAACTATCAGTTCAAGTGCTATCAAAACTATTTCCCAGTGAGCATCTTATGTAGCTCGACAAAACTTGAGAAGAATTTATTTCAAAACTTTTATTTGATAACAAATTTTTGTCATTTCTGCTATGTGTCATACCAATTTTCTGTTTAAGATCATTTTATCAAACATTCAGTGCTCTTTTATGGACATTATAACCTGCTTAAAGTTTGCTGAGTTACATAACTGGCTCATTTTGACATAGTTTTGATAGTAATTAAGCCAATAGTTTTGGCGTAGTTTTTGATTGACTAAAAAGCTAAACTGCCAAATTGATTGACTAAAAAGCCAAAAAAACTGCTTCTTATAAGTTCTGCTAAATTGCGAAGCAACTTTAATCCTCAACATTTTTGTCTAAAAGCAAACTAATGTGAAAAAAGTGCGGTTTTTTTCATATTTTTTTGTTTTGATAATTTTAATCATGCACTGTAGAAGACAGAAGGATAAGAAACTCAAATCAATCAAAAAAGCCAAAAACATCAACGAGTTGCTAAAAGGCTTCGTGCTGAAAATCGAGAACAAAACAAGGCTGCTCGTATCAAAGGAAAGCCTCGAAATCTTTGAGTGCATTTTAAGGGCCTTGGTTTAGTTTTCGTTTTTAGACAATGGGTGACTTTTGAAAAAAAAAATGAATAAAATGCAAAAATTTATCCAAGACATTGCTTTTCTTCATTTTTATCGAAAATTTTGCATTTTTTTGTAATTTTTTTTCCAATATTTGGTCCATCTTTTGTTCGGGACGCCTCTTGTTCTAACAATGAACATCCGATATGCGAAAAAAAATTATGTTCCGTTAATCAAAGTTTTCACACTGTCCTAAACAAACCAATTTTCGCATTTTGAATTTTTTGGTACTCTTGGTTATACCCCCATAAATGATTGAAAAAGATTTATTCATTTATAAAAATATCTGTATGCTCTGCTTGACTCCCCACTTCCCTTTTTTGCGAAAGCTTCATTTTTATACTGTAACCCATGGTTTTTGAAAGCTGTGTATTAAAACCATTTTGCTTGCATTAGATAAATTGACTAACATGTCAATTTTCCTTACAACCAGAGTAGTTGAGCAAAAAACCAAAACTTTCCAGATAGAGCAGAGACATGCAGAAGAGTTTTGTGACTTGTGGTAATTTTTGCAAAGCTTTGTCAATTGTTAATTTAGGTCAGCAATCACGAAACTTTTGAGCTTCTGTTAACTTTTTTAAGCAAAATGTTCCGACCGCAGACAACGTTTTGTCAAAAACCGTCAAAATGAGCGTCTTCAAGGAAGGCATATTTTGCAAGATTACGATAAAAAAACGTTATTTTGCAAGATTACGATAAAAAACGTTATTTTGCAAGATTACGATAAAAAACTTTATTTTGCAAGAATACGATATTTTTTGAGCGCACGCTCCTCCTCCAAATTGGGGCTCCTGTACATTCTCGGCACGCTACCTGATATAGACAAAAAACCAAAAGAAAACATGTCAAATATAGCCCCAGACGGGCCAATAAGGAAGAAATGGCAGACCTCAAACGGAATATATATCTCTACTTTTTTGTCATTTTCCCCGTAAATTGGTTCGAATATGACTAAAATGTGATTTATTCAAGTTTTTTTTTCAATTTCCTGGGTTGATTAATTGTATCCACCCCTGTATTGGATCAACAAAAATGACGTTCTGTTTCTTAAACGCTCTCTCAAAGTTTTAGCTGGTAAATATATCTTTTTAGGATAGGGTCCGTTTATAGCCACAAATACTTTCAGAAATTCAGTCACGGACTATCCGTCATACGAAAAGTTATACACATACTTTTTGCATGAATAGATCCAGCAAGTTTTCCAGGTCTATGAAGGACTGCTGGATCATCCGGTAGTAATTTCCCAGGAAGTTGAGAGGGGAGTAGAGTTGTACCATGTAGGTAGTGTACAGCACGAAACTTCCGACGTCTTGTTGCTTGTACACTATGTAGTATGCACACAAAGCACATCCTAAACCCGAACTGCTAATTTGAGTGGCTTAGATATAGATGAGAAAAGCAAACGACAAAAGCAAAACTCTAAAAGTCTTAATATTATATACTAACCTTCAAGCTTAGCACTATTATAAAAGGCGTACACCTAGGATGTCAGAAAATTGTGTAAGTCTCCACCTCGAAAAAAACTAAGAAAAGTTTTGCTTGTTTCTCAAGATGTTGTACTGTTCAGCAAAATTTTGTTATAAAAAATATGTAAAAAAATAAACAAGCATGTTTTCAAATTTTCTCAATGCCTCCAAAAAAGAGAAAAATACAAAGCTAATTAGAAACTGACCTCCAAATAGACTGGCATAAATTATGAGTATCTGGACCACATTCATGAGTTGGATACTCGCAGAGTTCTTCCAGCTTTCCTTCTGGTAGGATACTAGAGACGCCCTGAATCTGTCAACTTCGAACTGTTCTGCTCCATGGTATTTGACAGTCTCGAAGTTGATCAGCGAATCCACACCCTGACAAATTTCACAAAAATTCACTAAACTCACAAAAGTTCGCAAAAGTTCACAAAATTCATAAAATATCACGCATCATGCATAAACACTAGAACATTCACAGAGATTAAATCCAAATGATCGCTAAAAAACTGAAGTAACATCAAATCAACTTTCAATAACTGTTTTTTTTGCATCGGTGATTCGTTTTTCAGGTTATAATTTGACTTGCGAGGGCAATTAACTTCTAATCGCAAACTAGACTTTTTCCCGTAGACGACTTTTACAACTTTTACGACTTTCTGCTCAGTTGTGCCGTTATGCTCAATTCTGCTGACATGCTCAAATTCTTGAAAATTCAAATAAAAATACCTCTTATTAGTTTTTCAATTAAATCTATTGAAAATCTATCAATTTTTTTTTTGGATTTGTTACTTTCGTAAATTATGTCGCTAACTTTTGTCGGCTGTTTTTCGGTTTCTTTACAATAGTTGAGTTTTTTAATTTTTAATTCAAACATATTTTACTTTAATTGAAAGTCTTATTCTCTAGTTTTCAAATATACCAACTCTAATTTTTCACAGTTTATAGATTTGTTTTTGGTTAAATGGGTTCCGCCTGTCTTATATTCTTATACATATGTTGCGCAGTTTCAAGGGAAACTTTTTAAAAGCTTCTGCCTGATTCAGGAGTAAAGAGTGTTAAAAACTTGGGTTTTAAAAAACTTACAGCTTGAATTTTTTCTTTTTGCTTTTTTCTGAAATTTTACTCCTCTTTCCGTTTTTTTTTCAATTCAGCGGCAATATCTCGAGATGCATTCTTTTTTATTGCATCGCTTTGTTTCAGAGTAGAAGTTACAGGAGTGATAAGTGGTAAAATTTTTATAGATTTTTCATGAGTATAGTTTCGTTTTCGCCTTAACGAGAGTCGACCCAAGTTTCTTTGCCTTAGTTGCCGCTCGGTCTACTATTTTCAATGCTTGCTAAGTGCATTTTTGAAGCTCATTCAAGACAAAAGAATGAAGCATTTGTAGATATAGTTTTTAGCCTTTTTTCAAGTCATTTTGTCAGCTCAATTATTCAAAAAAATATGAAACACTTCTTTTTCTTCTGTTCATTATCAACATCTTTAAACGCAATTTTTAAATTGTATCGCAAATGTTGAGAAGCTCTTTTTTGTTTCTGTGTAGATGTTAGGAGCGTGGGTGGGAAAAGGTTTACACCTTGAAGCGTTTCATGACTACAGTTTTTTTTGGCTAAACGAAGGTCGACCCAAGTCACGACCTTCTTCGCCTTAGCTGCCACTGGCCTTAGTTGTCGCTGGTTATCAATGCTTGCTCAGGTTGCTTACGAACCTCATTAGAGACAAAAGTATGAAGCTTTTTGTACATATCATCAACTGTGCGCAGTTTTATGAAACTTACAGATATTTTCTAAAACTCTTGAGAAATTTTCTAAACACGACATAGAAAGTCTTTGAAGAGAGCCACAAACTTTATTTAATCATTTTGTAGTAAATGCCAAGTTGTTGTCATTATCTTTTTGATCAACAAATCTGAACGAAATGAATTAACCAATAACTGCTCATTTTGACGACCTATTTTTGTGTTTCATGGATTTGTACGCGTAAAAAACTTGTCCAAAAAAACTAATTAACCTAAAAGCTGTGTTTTTTTTTTACCCATTAAGTTGCTCAAGGATACCGATATTGCCAACAATTTGTTATTAATTATAAATAGTAGCAAAAATTTGAACAGTCAGATATAATTAAAAAGAGCGAATGACCTTTATCAGACAATTTTTGCATGTAAAAGCTTATTTTTCAGACCAAAAGTATGTCTCAATGTCGCCTAAAAAATCAAATTTGCATGCAAAAATTGATCAAAATTGGCAGATTGCTCTTTTTACTTATTTCTGTCTGTCCGAACTTTTCGCAACTGTCAATATAAAACTGCCTCAAAAAATCTTGGTATGCCGTTTAGAGACTAACTATGGTTCTGGTCTGGTTGTCGAGTTTATTCGCCGCTCGTTTGAACTTCGTCCTCCACTCAGACATGAGAACAGTGGCTAAGATGTAGAGTACAAGACAGCCGAAGACCATTAAGCCGAAGAAGAAGTTGTATGCAAACACAAAGTACGCTACAGTAGTCGGAAAGGACACTCTTTCTCCTAGCAACATCCCCCGAACCACACCGATTTATTTGGCCGAGCTCGAAAAAGTTGACCAAAGTTTGAAAATTTTCTTAAAGAAAAATCTCATTTATCTCTTGCTGAACACTTTAGATCCGTGTCTTTGTTCTTAATAGATTAATTACTTTACATTCAAATTTCTATAGCTCTGTTTGAAACACTATAATTTGAGAGTATCAATTTTAAAACAGCAGAAGGTGGTATAAAAGTGAAGTTTTTTGGAGGGAGGGGAGTTGGCGGGTGATTGAAAGTGGAAGAAGGCTTGGAGAGGAGAAAGAGGCCTATTGCGATGAGAATGTCTGCGAAGATCGGCAGTACAGAGAAGACGACGTATGAGAGGAGAGTGTTCAGACTGGTGTTGCCTCTGTCAATCACGCCCAGCACCTCCCCCGTCTTCCTACCTGATAAGGGAAAATATCAGCGGCTAATTAAATAGGACAGCCGGTTTACAAAGATTCAAGTAAAATACAAAAAAATTTGGCTTTTTTTTCATTTTTTCTCTGAAATTGCCGAATTCAGTCTCTCGACGTGCATTCAAGTTTAAACGACAGAAAAAAAAACGATAACGGGAGACACACCACGACTGAATAAACTAAACATTTCATCAAGTTGCATGTTCAGTTTTTTATCATTAAATGAACATTTGTTAATAATTTATGCAACTCGTTTAAATGCCAAACCAGGGAAGATTTTTCCTCAGGGATACTTCAAGGCAGGGGGATTTTGGGGGGTGACGCCCTCCCCCCTCATGGATTCGACACCCTGCTGTCCCAAAAGGTCCCCCTTTAAACTATTTTGAGATATCTATTTTTGGTGACGGACTCTAAAAACTTTCTAAAGCCATTATTTTTCAAATCCGACATCTAAAAATTTTCTTTGGTCAAAATTTACCAGAAAAATTTTGAAATTTGAAATTTTTGCCTGCGGCACAGAAAATTTGGCCAAAATAGAGCCTTTTTAGTGCTTTAGGAGAGCTCGGAAAATCAATATTGTTGACCTAAAAAAATGTCAACAATAATTTTTTGAAAATCTACCTCCCCTCGAGAAAGTCCTAGATTTATGCCTGCTTCAGGGCAAACGTGATGGTGAGAGTGAGCATGACCTTTTTGGGACTTTTTCAGGACTTTAAGGGAGTTTTATTTTTTTTTACGTTTTTGCCATTTTCTTGAAGTTTTGTCAGTCGAAACGTTACGGAAATTCTGATTAACCACTTTTTCAATTCAAAATTTTGGTACCTTTTCCGAGAACGAAATTTCAGCCGGGCTAAATCTATCTTGTTTTTGAAAAATTTCATTGAATGTTTTTGAAGAGCTCAAAATGATGACTAAATTTTCAAAGTTCCGTTAAATCTTCCTTCGCGAGAGTGCTTAACCAAAGTTGGTCGATGGTAGTAGAGCAAACGATAAAACATTAGCAAAAACTATTTAGGCCGGAAAGGGCGTTTAAGGGAAAAAACAAAGAAAATAAGATGATTTTTTTGCGTCAAGTAAATCTACAAATTAAATCAATACTACTTGCAATTACAGGGAAAATTATCTGCAGCACAAGACACGACAAAACATCTCGTGACGTGGCAACTAAGCCAACAGATAATCTTCAGACAAATTACAGTCGGACATTTTGTTTTTTCACTGATTTATAAATTAAATTTCAATTTTAAAAATATCAAAAATTTTTAAGGGTACAAAATCAACCGCGTTCTTTCTTTTCCACGAGGGAAGGGGCTTGTTATTTGTTTAGGTTCCATCATAAAGCAAGTTCAATTCCTTACAAATTTGTTATAACTTTATTACAATTTATGTGAAAAAATTGAGTGGATTCGTGTTTGATGCGTTTTACCGAAATTTTGAGAGAAAAAGCTTAAGCTGAGAAAAAGAAAAATATCTGAGAAAAAGGCATGAAAAGTCTGCGCTGATCTGTAACCGTTGATGTTCTGACAATTGCAACTGGCGAAGAATTTTATATTTGGGATTTGTTTTGGTTTTTCTGTTTAATTTATTTTTGCAAGTTCAGTTACCACAATGAATTATCGGAAATAATAGAGTGATATAGCATTTGAAAGCCCTTGAAGTCATAATTCGAAAAGTTGTCCCAGTGTTGAGAAAGAAAACTGGTTTAAAATTTTGAGTTTCAGTTCAATTTCGATAAAAAAAGAATAAGCTGTGAAAATTCAGATATAATCCGGTAAAAAATTTTCAGGTTTTAGCACCAAGTTCTGAAGGACGTTTTTTAAAAATTTAAACAAAAAATATTCAAAAAAATTCAGAACTTTTTTTTGAAATTTTGCGTCTTTTTGTTGTGTTTTAGTAATTTTTCGACAACAACTTCTCCCGATTTTTATCACACCACGCATAAAAAACGACATTATTTAAAAAAAATCAAATATCAACTTTTTCGTTAGTTCTTTCAAAAATACGGTCGTAACATTCTCGGCTTTTTGCACAGCAAACAGCTATCCTGGTTCAAATAGGTGATTTCCTACAAAAAAAAAATCAAAACCATAGAAACTTTCCAGATTTGGAATTAATCGGTACAGCGTGTTTTCATTAAATGATTCTGTAGGATGTTAGTCTAAAGGTGTTACATAACTTGCAAAACGACTAGATGGATAATAGAGAATGCTTATCTTGCAAGTTTTGTTTTGCTTATTTGGTTTTTGACTCAAGATGTCTTTAAATATTTTGATAAAGTTTGACTATTTTGAAAGTTTGCTATCTTGCAAGATTTTTTAAGCATCTTGCAAGATTCTTAAAAAATGCATCTTTTTCATAGAGTTTTGCACAATCAAATCATTAAAGAAATGCAGCACTCTTTTAATTTTTTTTTGAAAATATCGAAATATCTAGCAAGATGTTATCTAGCAATGTAGAGGCCACCAGAAAAGCTGATGTTTTTTTTTGGTATTCTATTAAGCTTAACTAAATTGTAAACGAACAATTTCATAAAATAAATGGTCATTAGTTGTCGACTTGATATTTCAATAATTATTGGATTACCCTCCCCTCTGTGATCGACTAGGGAAACACCATTTTGACTCACCTAGATGCCATCTGAGCGAAAGACTATGCAAGTGCTGGAAAATATCCACATTCGTTTTCCGAGCAGTGAACAGCTGAACTTTGATCCAGAGAAACGCCCTCATGTTAGACAGTAACCCACTTCCACCGGATCCAGTTCCAGCCAAAAAATAAACCACACAATAAATAACGAGATAATGCCAAGGAATCTTCGACAAGTCTTTTTCCGATAGAGCGTTTACTACTTTTGAATAAAAAATAGGAACTGCCACTTTCACAAATCGAATTGCAATGAGATTCGCAAGCGCTAGTACAATTGCTAACTGAAGTAAGGGGTCATGTTTGGGCCACATATAGGGCCATAGAAACTTCAGTTTTTTCAAACTGTTTTTAAACGTGCTTCTTTCGTAGTCGATTTGAAAATCGTTTTCACTTTCATCCTGTGAAAGGAAGTATTCAAGGTCACCCGAGCGTATTGGGGTCCTTCTTGAGTTTTTAGGTAACCCAGGAGCATAGAAACCAATACAAATTACTACCAAAATATAAAGAATTCGAAAAGCCAAAAGGAATATCTCAACTTTATCCAAAGAATCGGACCAATCGAAATGCCACTTGCTCACGACCATATTAATTAACGGTACCAATTCGAATAAAAAAGCAACGAACCAGAAACAAAAAATGTGAAAACTATGGGAAAATTTGGGTTTTTTGGACCGATCCAGAGCCGTGAGAGTTTCGCATTTCAAGGCGTAACTCGCAAGCCACCACGCTAATTTATTGCTTGTGAGTAAAATGGGCCACATCCATGAAAACTCGTGATTGAAACTCAAATTTGCCAACAATAGGAAACCGTAATTTAAAGGATACAGAAAATTGAGCCAAACAAAAATTTTATATAACCCAGGAAACTTTGATTTTCGTCGTCGTAAATTAACGACTAGACATTCGCCGTCGGGTAGATTTCCATTTTCGGGTGAATTATTCACCTCTGTGAAAGCATCTGAGTTTTGGTTTTGTTCATTTGGAACTGACGGGTTTGCAAACTCTAATTTCGATTTCTTCAAACTCCAAGGCCGAATAAAAATTATACGCAGCAAAGCCAGCAAAACAAGGAAAATTGGGAAAAAAATGTTGCTAGCACAAGTAGAAAACCCACAGTTTTTATCAAAAAAAGGATAAAAATTTTGCCCGCGTGGGCAAAATGGGTACATTTTACAGAAAGGTTTCGAAAAGAGAAGTTCGGATTGTAGACTCCTTAACTCAATTCGTAAATAAAGATTTGCTAACTCATCAACTTCAAAGGTTTTGTGGCTCTTTCAGAAGCACAAAGATGCAATGTTTTAGCATTGATGTAGCTCTGCTTAACTCACAACACGAGACAAGAAAACTTGTTTGCTGAGCTCGCAGTGACTGATAAAACTTCGATACAACTTCAAGACAAGATAATGCAGGTAATAATAGTCCACTCAAATGTTTTGGTAGTTTGATTTCATGTGGTAGGACAATTTTAAACACGTACCGAGCTTTGTTAAAGGTCCCTTTCCTTGTTAACGGTCCAGTATCTATAGGAATTACTAAACGCCCTGACGTTGAACGATGAACCAACCAAGCGAGTAACTTCCCACAGTTGTTGAACTTTGTAATGATGCCTTCCCTCTTGTTTTAAATTCGGGGGGGGGGGGGGTGTTTAGATTTTTTATTATGGTCCAGATAGATTGTGGTTGTTAAATTTTAATGCATCAGCCCAAAAAGAATCAGTGGCGTAAGCTTTAGCTTGTAAAATTGGAAAAATATTTCTCGTATCAGGACAAAACACTGAATATTCCGGGTGCCCTTTAACGTTTGTGTTTTCGATTTTACTTAACTTTTTCAAAAACTTACTTTAACTCAATTGTGATTTCTGCGTTTCGCAGAGAATCTATGAAATGTTATTTAGTCTGTCTAATCAAAGTTAGCTTCTCTTAATTCCTCA